AAAAAAAAAAAAAAAAAAAGAAAGAAAGAAAGAAAGAAAAAGGAGGTTATAACAGTATATCTAATATATATATATATATATATATATATATATGTGTGTGTGTAAAAATAAAGGGTTGAAGAAAACAAATGAACCCTAAAGCAATGACGATTATCTCTGAAGAAAGGGAATTATTATCTCAGAGCAATGGGGGAGTTTCGATTTTCCTGCTCTGCATTTTCTAGATGTTCTACAATAAACATGTGTTATTCAGGTGTTGGAATACTTCTCACTTCTCAAAATGTTACTAGGAGGAAGGTTTATCCCAAGACTTCTGGTCTTTAGTAACAAACTCTCATTAGTTTTGTGGGTGGGCTCTCCCAACTTTGCAAGATACTCCTGGCATGTTTTATAGTTAATATCACAAGCCCAACAATATTGACTAACATTTAGTTTATATGCAAAGGTGCTGGCGGGCACATTCACATGTGTGATGGTCATTTTCCATGCCAACTTTTATTCCCAAGGCAGGGTGGAGACCTGTTGGAGTTAGAGGCAGTGGCAGCATGTAGAGATGTGACAGCAATGGCACTGGGTACCAGCAAGGGTGCAGGTGGCGGGCAGAAGCAGAATGATACAAGCATGGAAGGCATCAGTAAATCAACATGTGTGTCCACAAAGCAACACATGTGTTCCTGGGACTTGCTCCCCTCCCCCCAAAGCGTGCCATATGCAACAGCAAGGTGGTGACCATCAGGATGCCTGCCAAGGGCCCAGATCTAGCAGTCCTCCCACCAGTGCTGCCAGGGAAGGCCCATTGTCAGGGGGTGTGGAGTGACTTCTACAGAGGAAACCCACGCACTTGGCTCTTGGGAGGAAGAGGCTTCATCTGCCCCCTTGCCCCGGTTACCACCTCTGCCAGCTGAGGAAAAGCAGAAGAGGAGCATGGCAGTCATAGATCAGGGGTTGTGAGATGGGAGCCTTAACACAGCCCTGTGGGGAGAGTGAGGGGAGGCTCCGTCAGTTGAAGTAGAAAGTCCTTCCATTACTGACCAGGGTCTACTCTTCTCTCTCCTTCGTCTGGTAAAAAAAAACGGCCGTTTCTTTTATTTTTAAAAGGGGTGCCCCTCAGACCCCAATAAGCTTCACCAGCCTTTCCCAGCTTCCCTGACTTCCTACATAAATGCAGTCTATATAAAAACAATATGGCACCAGAGTGAGCCTCCAACTCAAAAAATAAAAGAAAAAGAAAACCCAGAAACAAACAATATGCCTACCATGCTGACATTATTTTTAGTTTTTTTTTTTTTTTCTTTTTTGAGTCAGGGTCTCATTCTGTTGCTCAGGCCAGAGTGCAGTGGCATGATCTCAGTTCACTGCAGCCTTCACCTCCCGACCTCAGGCGATCCTCTTGCCTCAGCCTCCTGAGTAGCTAGGATTACAGGTGTGTGCCATCACACCCAGCTAATTTTTTTTTTGAAGAGACAAGGTCTTGCTGTGTTGCGCAGGCTGGCCTCCAACTCCTGGGCTCAAGTGATCCTCCCACCTCAGCCTCCCCAAGAGCTGGGATTACAGGCAAAGGCCACTGCGACCCCACCCAGACACAAGTTTAAAGCGGTCCCTTAGCCTCTCTAGCCAATCACATTACATCATCTGACTCCCCCCACCCCCCAGCAATTTGGGAGTCTCCATTGTTATAGGTGAGTGGGGATTGTGCTAAGAACACAAATCCTAGATTGGGTTTGGAAGTGTGGGTGGCCAATTAATAGACGCATTGCTCCCCCAACTTCCACTCCCTCCTACATTCAGAAATTCATACTTAACTAGAAATCCTGAAGGCCAGAGAAAGTGAGTTCAGGCCCCAGTTTTGGCCCACACCACATTATAGTATGTGGGGACCAGCTAAAATATTTTTCATGCGATTGCCCCTGAATCTCCTTCCAGATGGATACCAGGTTCTAGTGATTGGTGATTTTATCCTCTAAACCTCCATTTCATGGACCCTAAAAACCTCTGCCTGGACAGGATACCCAGGATGGAGAAGATACCTATGAGTTCCTCTTCAGGTCTCAGCAGCATGTTCCTGTCTCCCCAACTGACCTGGAAATTTGCCAGGACTGGGGGTTTGCAAATTTCTTCTCTATTTTCTCTGTGAAGCAGTTACTCCTAAGTTTGAGGGTAGTTATCTGTTTGTAGAAACAGTTTTCATGTCATGGGAACCAAATACCTGAAGTTTCCTATGCAAATCTTATGCAAAAATTAGGCAAATCATCATTCTGGGCCAAGACTTCCAGTGTCCTGCATGGTGGTACGTGGAAAGGAAAGTGTCTGCTCTTTCTTGCTCTGAGTCGGTATGTGCATTTGGCACTCCTACACCCATCTATTTTGCTTAGTTAGGGATTTGCTAAGGTGTTTCATGACTGCACACCTTAATTCTGGATGTCACACATCTGTCCTTTGGCTAATTGCCTTCTGGGATCTGCAGTCTTCCCTTGTGTGGTTTTCTACTTGTAAACTGACCTGTGGGTTGTAGAGATGGGTGGACTTAAATGACTGGCATTAGATTAACAAAGACTTTCAAACATTGTAAGTAGTCCAGCTGCAGTGGCTCATGCCTGTAATCCCAGCTCTTTGGGAGGCGGAAGGAGCCCAGGAGTTTGAGACCAGCCTGGGCAACATAGCAAGACCTCGTCTCAAAAAAATTTTAAAAATAAATTAGCCAGGCATGGTGACTCACACTTGTAATTCCAGCTACTTGGGAGGCTAAGGTCGGAAGATTGCCTGGGCCCATGAAGTCAAGGCTGCAGTGAACTATGATCACACCACTGCACTCCAGCCTGGCTGCAAGAGCAAGACCCCAATTGAAAAACAAACAAAAGCATTGTAAGTAAATAGGAAACATAATGACCCACAGGCCACCCTCCTCAGCCTCCCATCAGGCCCCTCTTTGTCCTGGGTTGGTTGGCCAGCCAGCCTTGAATCCCTGCTTTAAACTCACTCTTCTTCCTCTCACCCCAGGGTTTGCAAGGCACCACAGATCTCTGTCAGCAATGTCTGCCCCTTGCCTGCCTCTGGTTCTTCAACTCTCAGTTCTAATGCTACTTCCTCAAGGAAGCCTTCCCTGACCACCTTCTCCCATTCTGGGTCAGGTATTGGGGCTGGCTTAGTTTGGGCTGCTCTAATAAAATATCTCAGACTAGGTAATTTCTAATTAATAGAAGTAGATTTTTCACAGTTCTAGAGCCTGGGAAGTCCAAGATCAAGGCACCAGCCAATTCAGTGTCTGGTAAGGGCTCTCTTTTCCACAAATATCACCTTCATACTCTGTCCTCACACAGCTGAGAGGACAAAAGGGCTCCCTTGAGCCTTTTTCATAAGGGTACTTAATCCCATTCACAAGGGCTCCACTCTCATAACCTAGTTACCTCCAAAGGCCCCACCACCTGAATGCCATCCATCCTTTTGGTGATGAAGTTTCAACACAATTTTGAATTTGGGAGGAAGCAACACTCAGACCATAATAGGTCTTTTCTTCACAATTAGTTGTACTTACACATTTGTATGATACTTTGATGAGTGTCTGACTCTTCTACTAGACTAAGCCGCCCAAAGACAGACTCTTGCCTGTATCTCCCAGAGCCAGCCAATTACTAGCACATAGTAGTGCCTCAATAAATGGATTTGCTCATTTCTAAATATATAATTCAACATACAGTCTACTTGAAGACTTGTACCTGCTGGGATGTGAGTACTGATGATCTCTCTTCCTCTGCTCCATCTCAGGAGAGCAAGATAGCTTTCTCACTGTTAGCCCTGGGGACTGAGCTTTACAACAGTTGTAAACAAGTGTATTTTCTTTTTCTTTTTTTTTTTTTTTTGAGTTGGAGTCTCACTCTGTCGCCCAGACTGGAGTGCAGTGGCCACTCCCGGCCACCGCAGCCTCGACCTGCTGGGCTCCAGCGATCCTTCCGCCTCAGTTTTCCAAGTAGCTGGAACTACAGGCGCGCGCTACCACACCCAGCTCATTTTTTGGTTTATTGTAGAGATGAGGTCTCACCGAGTTGCCCAGACAGGTCTCAAACCCGCGGGCTCAGGCGATCCACTCACCTCAACCTCTCAAGGTGCGGGATTACAGGCTGAGCCGCTGAGCCTGGCAACAAGTGTCTTTTCTACTCAATCACTTCCCTCCCACTTCCCTCTCCAGGACTCTGTGCCTGCCACACTTGGCATTCAGAGCTCAGAACATTTTTAAAATCAGGCTTTTCCGATTGGCTGGGGCTACCATGTCCCTCCAAGAAGAGTGCTTCATTATATATTTCTGCTTCTATAACTATAATTCAGGGTCTCGTATGGGTACGGGGTGCCGAAGGTTGGAATGCTGGACATCCCCCTTGATCTGAGTAACGCGACAGGTTCAGGTTTCAGGGTGCAGTTACTTTCCCTCTGCCATCACGTTAGTTATTCCAAGAGAATTTGACTTCAGATACCCTTTGATGTCTAGCCATCTCCTTTCTTTTGCTTTTTGCTTTTCTCCCTTTGTTTTTCAGAAGGGAGGTCGCTGGAGAAACTCTTTTTCTCTCCCCCTTTCCAGGTTGGATAGGGTTCCCGAAGCGGAAGACCTGGCTTCCCAGATGCTGAAAGGCTTTCCCAGAGCTCGTGTCTCTGCCCGGGAAGCGCTGGCTCACAGTTATTTCAGTGCCCTGCCTTCGCAGCTGTACCAGCTTCCTGATGGTAAGCCAGTGCATGTGTGTGTGGACATATGTGTTAAGTCATGACGTCTTACATGTGTTCTCTCAACACTGGAGAATCAGACCATTTGCCCCCAGAAGTGAGGCTAGAACTCAGTTTGCCTGAGAGAAGCGAGAGGGGGGACTCCATCTTGCCGGAGGTTCGTGTGAGATTCTCTCAAACTTTAAAGCCTGTGTGGGGAGAGGGGACAGGGGCCTCCTTGTAAGGATCTGGACATTTCTCCTGCACACACACTAGTGCACTCAGAAAGTGCACCAGGCGGAAGTTGCCTCTGAGTTGTTTGCTTTCACGACCATCTGCCAAGAGAGGCAAAACAAAGGTTCCCAACAAGGCCCTTCTCTCTCCCCAAGTAAGACGAGCAGCGACATGGATAGTCTTGAGAGGGGAGCTGGGCCTTTCTTGATTGGTAATGCGATGCCGCAGGAGGAAGTGGCAGGCAGGGCTCTGGGGGCAGGGAGGTGTCCTGCCGGCCGGCTGGCCGCCCACTGGAAACGCAAGCTGCCCTGAACTCAGCCTTTGCTGCCTGGCCTGAAGTCATCCTACAATCTGCTGAGGGGTCATGTGGTTGGAGCATGCCTTGGGTTTTTCAGAATGTGGCCAGGAAGGGCCACAGGAGGATGTGGGCAGTGCAATCACAGGGGGACTCTCCTTGGGTGGGGCTTCTCTGGAAACATCCACCATTCAACTGAAAATAGTCTTTAGAAGTCCTAAGCCTGGAGAAAGGAATTCTCAGAAGGAGGAGCAAAGGGCTGAAACTAAGGAGAGAGTGCTGGGGGGGAGGGGAACAAGAATGGGGGGGCGGAGGGGAGTGGGCTGAGGAGAGGACAGGGACAGGGCGTAGACACAGTCAGACACACCTTGCCAGGGTTTGCAGACGCAGCTCCGCCATATCTAGGACATTATCCTGTGGCACTCCCAAGCTCTTAGTTTGGCGCTTGTTGTGATATTTTATTATTAAAGTGAGTCATTTAGGATCTCCAAAAATAACCATCATCACACAACTGGGGTTCATGTCTTACTTGACCCTGGAAGAAGAGTCAAGTCATTAGTATTTATTATCTTGCCGTGAAGTGTCAAGAACATATTAAGTGCTATAAAAAGTTGAGGAAAACAAGACACTTGTCCTTGGCCTCAAGGGTCTTACCAAGTGGGAGGAAGAGAGGGTGAGGGAGAGGAAACAGGGCCCCTTCGTGCTAACATCAGCACAAATCATATCTAAACGGCGAAAATCTGTGCGTAATCAGCTGCAGATGTGCAGAGACTGCGTTAAGGGTGATGCTTTGGAAGAGCTAGGATAATGCAAGTGAGATGGATTAGCCTGGAGGTGAGTCTGACATGGAATTTAGAAGGAGGGCAAGGACACGGTTTAGCATTTGGGTGGAGACACACAGGCAGCCTACAGTCCTCATTCCCTTCCTGATCCCTCTGCCCCCACCTTGGCCCCATGTGACCCCTTGAGTCCCATCCCAATCTCCTCTTCCCAGTCTAAGCCCCTAGATCCTTCCTTTTTTTTTTCTTCCTTGAGTTGAGGCCTCACTATCTTGCCTAGGCTGGGGTACAGTAGCATGGTGATCATGGCTCACCACAGCCTCAACGTCCTGGACTCAAGTGATCCTCCTACCTTAGCCTCTCAAGTATCTGGGACCACAGTTGTGCACCACCATGCCCGGCTCATTTTTTAATTTTTGTAAAGATGAAGTCTTGCTACGCTACCCAGGCTGGTCTGGAACTCCTGGGCTCAGGCAGTCCTCCCACCTTAGCCTCCCAAAGTGCTGGGATGACAGGCGTGAGCCACTGGGTCCAGCCCATCCTTCCTTCTTAGCTTTCGCTGCTCAGGCTTGAAACTTCTAACTCTACCACTTCATGCAAGTATACATGCTTGTGTATACACACACACACACACACACACACACACACACTCACCCTTCTCTCCTCTAAAGAAACTTCCCCTGTTGGCCCTCCTCCAGGATCTATTATTCTACACACTGAGAACCGCTGGGGACCTTCAAAGTTTTCTGGGCACCAGCTTTGCCTGACGGAGGGTAATTAGGAGGAAACAATCACTGTCCAAACTGATGTGTTGTTAGAAACTTGGGTTTTGATTCTTCCTGGTGGATCCGAAAGCAAAGCCACCAACAGGAGCCCGGGTGCATGCACGTCAAGGGGTGTGTGTGTGTGTGTGTGTGTGTGTGTGTGTGTGTGTGTGTCCGCGCGTCTGTGGGTGGAGGGTGTGAGGGGGAGGACAATCTGTATTCCTTCTCTGTTCACCCAGTCACAGAGCCTAAATCTACTCTGACACTTGCAGAAAAATGAAAAGCCGGAATCCTGCAGAAGCCTGCCTGTGCTGGGGGGGAGGCGAGGAGTGCTCGCAGCAGGAGGGAAGTTGACTTTTCTTTATCCATATAGGGGTTTTTCCATGCAGAGTTTAAATTATGCCTGATAAAAGGAGTTTCGTGGATGTTTCAGTTCTTTCAAATTCTCCTGGCTTCCTCCCAATTAAATGAGGTTTGTCA